GGAGCTGAATTTACAATTCTGTCTTACATGAACAGCTGGCTTTCGGGCATGCAATTCAACTTCTGGCTTGATTTCATGATTAATAAATGTCATGTTAAATGTTACATATATTACATTCTTTCAAGTAATCCTTACCAAAACAAAAGTCTGGAATTTTTCCTTCAGTTTTATAAATAACTAAACTAAGCCTGAAAGAAATATAATCACTTTTCAGTTTCTCCTAAAAGAGTTGACATCCATATGAAGGTCTAACTCCAACACCCCTACTTGTGCCAATAATCAAAATAGCAGATAGCTTCCCTATTTTTCTGGAAGAATATGTGATGAATTACCATGCAAATGCCTTTAAAAAAAGCTGACCAGGAAGGTGAGTCATTTCTCTGTCACTAAAGTATCCTCACCTCCTGGCTTCAAAGAATCTGCTTTTCTCCACCACATAACCCATTGTCTGTCTTGAGTTTTGTGGACAAAGTAGAAAATCTTAGTAGGGTACAGCAAATTAATATGCTAAGTAGGAACTCGAAATCAATGTGAAATCATATTCAAAAAAGGAAACATTTTTTCCAGCTGTCTCTAAAAGGAGCCCAATCATAATGGCAGCAATTTTGTCCAAAATTCATGCAAAGTCCTAGCATCCAAATATAGTAACTACTAAAAGGGCACAGGACTCTGTGGGAAATTATATTTCACACAAAGCTCTGTTTTGTGTTTGCTCAGGAAGAGAGATCTGAAAAACTTTTAAAAAGAAAGAAAACCTTCTATAGGCAGAAAAGAACAAGTGGAATCATATCGCATCTAAGAAGCTTAGCGGCATTTCCTTTTGACTCATTTATATTCAGTTGAGGCAACTTTAAATTTTTTTTTAAGATTTATTTATTTATTTATTTATTTGAGACAGAGAGAATGAGAGAGAGCACATGAGAGGGGGGAGGGTCAGAGGCAGAAGCGGGCGTGGGACTCGATCCAGGATCTCCAGGATCATGACCTGAGCCGAAGGCAGTCGCTTAACCAACTGAGCCACCCAGGCGCCCAGTTGAGGCAACTTTAAATAATCAACTTTCAAATGGCCATTTTGAACTTATTAAAACAGTGTTTCGGGGCAACCCTCTTGGTCCCCTCCCTCTTCGGTGGCTTTGTACTATCACCTTCCATGGCTCAATAAACCTTGCTTTGCTGCCCACCAAAAAACAAAACAAAACAAAAAAACCCACAGTGTTTCAAAAATCCTGAAACAACTTCAAGTTTTATAAACGATAATTAATATGTAATTCTTATTAGTGTGAGCTTAATATATACTTATCAAAGTAAGCTCTACCATGGAGTTGAGCTATCTTTTTCCTCTTGAGCAACAGGAATGATAGAAAACAAAAAATACAGTGTATATGGAAAATCCAATCTTAGACTCTTTCTTAGACTGCAAGTCTAGCTAGCAAGACCTTTAACTGAGAAAAATTATTTCCTTTCTTAAGAGGGAAACTTCTATTTCTGATTTCATATCCCTTTCGAATACATACGTTTGTTTTTTCCCTTCCTATATTCCTTGCAAGGTAGCTAACTTCATGATTTGGGCAAAGAAACACTGAGGATGGGTCTGGAACATCCTATTATTGCCGGAAAGTAAGGATGCTTGCAAAGATGTCAGAGCGGTGCTGAAGGGAGCAAAGAGTCAGTCTAAATTGGCCCCCAGGGGCTCATTCTGACAATTTGAGCATCACAATATATACATTATAATTAATTGAAATGTGTTAAGTTGTAAAAGGCCATGAATTCCTGAGACTAAAAAGAAAAATGTTAAAATGCAATACACAAATACAGAATGAATGATACATATGAGAATGAATTTAGTAAGTACAAAGTGTAATATTTACATGTATGGAGTACATATATGTGTATATATAAATATATATGTAATATACATATACAGACACATACATAATTCATATATATATGGATTACCTTTCCAAGAGGCATATAAAGCATATAAATGTGTATATGTGTGTGTGTGTATACACAGTATAGACAGATCTCTTACCTTTCCCAGGTTTTTCATCTCTTTAATCAAAAGTCAAATTCAAAAGAGGCTTCCTCCCCTGGCCATACAATCTAAAATATCAACATTGTCCCCTACCTCTTCCTTCATCTTCTCCTTAGAATTTATTCTCTTACATAATATATTTCTATACGTATTTTTTATTGTTGGTCTTCCTCACTAGAAATTAGCTCTATTGAAAAAAAAGCAGTGATTTCTGTCTGTGTAGTTCACTATTGTATTTCCAATGCCTACATTAGAACAAAGCCTGGCACACAGTAGGTACTCTACACAAAATGTTTCAATAAAACACACACACACACACACCTCCTGCTTAATCAAGAGTATATAAAAGAAACATTTTAAATATGACAAGCAAAAATTGCACAAACTGACAAGGCAGAAAGATATGTTCAGCAGCATAAATAACCAGATTAAAAAAGGAATCCAACAGGGCGCCTGGGTGGCTCAGTTGGTTAAGCCACTGCCTTCGGCTCAGGTCATGATCCTGGAGTCCCGGGATCGAGTCCCACATCGGGCTCCCTGCTTGGCGGGGGGTCTGCTTCTCCCTCTGACCCTCTTCCCTCTCGTGCTCTCTGTCTCTCATTCTCTCTCTCTCAAATAAATAAATGAAATCTTTAAAAAAAAAAAAAAGGAATCCAACAGTTCCACCACCACTGGTCATACTCAATAACCGAGTGGAAAGGGTTTTGCCAGTGTGTTCTAAACGAATTAGTCCATGTCCTGAAAAGTATTAACTGAACAAACTCAAACCCTCATCTCCTAGGACAAGAAATCTCTAGAGGACCCTAATAACTGTAAGATAATAATAAGCATAAGTTTTTAATAATGCTAAGAGATCAAGTCACTGTATCGCAATAAGACAATGGGTTGTATAGCTGCAGATAAATGAAATTTAATACCTCATTATGAGGAGAAACACCCGATTGTAAAGCACAAACACCTGTGCTAAAGGCATGGGTGTAACAGATTTTACCAACATTACAAGTTTGTTTTTTTTTTTTAAAGATTTTATTTATTTGACAGAGAGAGACAAAGCGAGAGACGGAACACAAGCAGGGGGAGTGGGAGAGGGAGAAGCAGGCTTCCGCGGAGCAGGGAGCCCGATGCGGGGCTCGATCCCAGGACCCTGGGACCATGACCAGAGCCAAAGGCAGATGCTTAATGACTGAGCCACCCAGGCGCCCACAAGTCAAGTTTAACTGAAAAAAACAGAATTGATCGGTGGCTTGGGTTTATGTCACCTTAGAGGAAGAAATCAGGTGCCATACTTAGATCAGAATCAATTAATGAATAACTCAAACTCTTCACTGGTCTGAGTCATTACTCTTTTTCCTTTAGGCCTGGCAAGTTTACTATAATCTTGGGGAGCTTTCCAAAATAAGTTATTATTCAACTCTTACTATTAAAATAACTATTTCTAGACATCTAGGAAATATAAGAAAGAATAAAGAAATGGCATGGATTTTCAGCATATCAAGTGACATTTTAGTTAGATGTAATATGTTTTGCAGTGTTTTATAATCACTGTATTTTTTCTGTTTAAGGTTTGAAGTATTAAGTCATACTTACTCTGCAGTTTCAGTTTCATGGCACTCTGTCTTAATATTTAGGAAATTTTCAGATTTGTATTAATATAGGTATAAATTGACTAATAAAGAAATTATAAGAGTAGTAGTCATTGTTTCACTCCACACACATATATAAATCCTTTATTCTTTCCTAGTTCATTTGTTCTGTTGTTTTTATAGATGCTTTCCAGACAATATCCAAGATTCTAACAATTCTAACTATTCAAGGTGGCACCATTACCATATCATCAGTTTACCTCTCTACATCCACTCAGATAAAATAGGAATATACTGCTCTTTACCCTCATATTCCTCATTACTCATAACTTATGCCCTAAAAATTTTAGGCTCCAACTGTTTTACTTTTACCATGAGTTGAAAATGTCCCATCCTATCTGCTGGTAATATCTTTGTCTGAATCTCTAGTTCCAAAGAAGTTATCCATAAACTTCTTTTTTTCTTTAAAGATTTTATTTATTTATTTGACAGAGAGAGACAGCGAGAGAGGGAACACAAGCAAGGGGAGTGGGAAAGGGAGAAGCAGGCTTCCTGCGGAGCAGGGAGCCAAATGCAGGGCCAGATCCCAGGACCCCGGGATCACGACCTGAGCCGAAGGCAGACGCTTAAGGACTGAGCCACCCAGGCACCCCATTATCCATAAACTTTTTTTTTTTTTTTAAGATTTTATTTACTTATTTGACAGAGAGAGAGACAGCGAGAGCAGGAACACAAGCAGGGGGAGTGGGAGAGGGAGAAGCAGGCTTCCTGCCAAGCAGGGAGCCCGACGCGGGGCTCAATCCCAGGAGCCTGCGATCATGACCTGAGCCAAAGGCAGACGCTTAACGACTGAGCCACCCAGGCGCCCTATCCATAAACTTCTTAAGCCAAGCTTTCAATCTCCCCACAAAAGAAGACCTCATTTACAATTCTATTATATTCTATTACACAGTATGTTTAAACCCATACTGAAAACAGAAAATCAAATAATTCCTTTAAGATGAGGAGCCATTCATTAATATGACGGATCCATTATTCTCTTAGCTTGCCGCTCTTTCTTTAAAGGCCTATAGTGAGTCACCACCACAAATGATTTTAATTCCTTATGGGAAAACCTGTTAAGGAGTTTTACTAGGTGAATTTTTAAAAATCTATCCTTATCATGAGTCTAATAAATACCAAATTAATTTTTATCAACAAATAAAATGTAGTAATTCTCTCAACTTTATGAAGGCTGTGTATTCAACTTCCATATACTTGTTTTAGCAAAAGGTTTCTCAGGATAATTATGCCATAAAAGATTAAGGCTTTCTCACATGTATAGCAAACACAGGGTGTATGAATCAGAACTATAATTCCAAGAGGCAAAAATCCAATTCAAATTAAGCAAAAAGAGAAAATTTATTGGATCACAAAAATTAAAAAGTAAAAGATGGTATAGACTTCAGGCATGATTGAATTCAGAAGGTCAAACAATGTCATCAGATTTGTCTCTTATCTCCATTTTCCTCTGTCTTGGACTGATCTTGGGAAGGCTTTCCTCATGCGGTGACAAAAAAGCTACTGGTGAGTTTTGAACCTTGAAAAATCCTTTAAATCCGTGAAACTTGCAATTCCAGGAAAAAAAATGATCTTTTCTTACTATCCATAACAATACCCCCCTAGGGCTCTAGTGGTCCAAACAGGGCCATCTGCCACTCCCTTATTAACCAAATTGTGGCCAGCCTATGACCAATCCACTGCTCTCCCTAATAGTTTCATCAGAATGATATGCACTGAGGGTGAGGTAAGTTTCAAATGGGGCATAGAACAGATCCAAAAGTAATAGATGTCTACTATTCAGGCTATTTCAAATAAGGGATGCTCATAAACTGAAGGCTTTTCCATATTTACTACATTCATAGAATCATTAACCAAAGAATTCACTGATATTTATTTAATAAGGACTGAGTGGTGACTAAATGTTCTTTCATATACTTGTTATAATCAGAGAGTTTCTCTATTATGAATTTTCTGATGTCGTCTAAGGGCTGAGGCACAGCTAAAATTATTCCCACACTCATTACAGTTATAGGGTTTGTCTCCAGCATGAATTCTCTGGTGTAGCCTAAGGGACAAGATCTGATGGAAAGCCTTCCCACATTCATTACATTCATAGGGCTTCTCTCCAGTATGAATTCTCTGATGCTGATTAAGGTATGAGCCACAACTGAAGGCCTTCCCACATTTGTTACATTCATAGGGTTTCTCTCCTGCATGACTTCTCTTATGATGAATTAGAACTAAAGCATCACTGAAGGCTTTCCCACATTTACTGCATTCAAAAGGTCTCTCTCCACTATGTATTCTATGATGTCGATTAAGTTGTGAGTCAGTCCTAAAAAACTTCCCACATTTGATGCATTCATAAGGCTTTTCACCTGTATGAATTCTCTGATGTTGATTAAGGTGTGAGCGATAGCCAAAAGTCTTCCCACATTCATTACATTTAAAGGGTTTCTCTCCTGTATGAATCCTTTGATGCAGAGTAAGGGCAATGCGTCTGCTGAAGGCTTTTCCACATTGATTACATTCATAGGGTTTCTCTCCAGTGTGAATTCTCTGATGCTGATTGAGGTGTGCACTCTGTCTGAAGGCTTTGTTACATTCCTTACATTCATATGGTTTCTCTCCTGTGTGAATTCTCTGATGTTCAACAAGGAAGGCATAACGGCTAAAGGCCTTCCCACATTCATTGCACGCAAAAGGTTTCTCTCCAGTGTGGATTCTCTGATGTTGAGCAAGGTGTGCACTCTGTCTGAAAGCTTTGTTACATTCCTTACATTCATATGGTTTCTCTCCAATATGAGTTCTTTGATGTTCACTGAGAAAGAAATCATGGCTAAAGGCTTTTCCACAGTCATTGCATACAAATGGTTTCTCTCCACTGTGAATTCTCTGAGGTTGAGTAAAGAATGAATAACACCTAAAGGCATCATCACAGTCATTGAATCCATGCGGTAATTTTCCAAAATGAGTTGCTTGATGTTGAGTAAGTAATGAGTGGAAACTTAAGAGATTTGAAAAATCATTACTTTCATAAGGTTTTTCCCCAGGAGGAATTCCTGTATCTTTACTAAGGTATGTATTCTGGTTGAAATCTTCACATTCATTATCTATCAAAGATTCGTTCTCAGCAGGTAATCTTTTATGTTCAATTAGGATGGAATTTGGGGGAAACATTTTATCATAAATATCAAATTTATGTACTTGCTCTACTGTGGGAACTCTCTCTTGTGTTGAAAGTACTGATTTCAAGAGAACACTTCTCTCATTATTATTATATTTATTGTCTCTTTTCACAGCAGAGATTTCCTTAACAGCTGTCACTTGCCTGAAATGCCTCTCCTGCTTTCGTTGATGCTGCTCAAATTCACCCTTATATTTCCAGGCTTCTCTGAAACTGGAATATTCCAGGTCATAACTTGTAAGTCTTTCCATTACCATCCCCTGGGATATATCCTCTTCATCAATGTACCATTTTGGAGATAATTCCTTGATTTCATACCAAGACTCCCAGTCTGAAAAATATCAAGAAAGCAAATGTGTCCTTTTTGCCTCTGCAAGGAGAAAACTGTTATAGAAGAAACTGAAGAATTTAATTGGAGGAATGAGGGGAAAGTACATGGTTTTGACACCTTTCAAATATGAAAAAAATACAAAGAAAGAACAAAGAATGAAGAGAGCTGATAAAGGAAGATATATGTGTTGGCAATGGGGAGGAGGTTATAGGGGAAATGTAGGGCATCAAACACATTAATATACAGGTAAAATGCAGAGTATCAGCCATGGATTTTCTTTTACCTCAGGCTCTATCTTAACCAAGGCCCAAGAGGGATTTGTTCACTTATCCTCTATTAGGTCTACACTATTGTTCTTTTTTTTTTTTGGTAGAAATTCACTGTTCCCTCACCAACTTTCCTAGAACCTTCTTTCCTATGTTCATCACCCAGGGCCACTACATTCCCTCTTACCAAGAATAAATCTTTTCTCTACTCCAGGCAAATGGCAGCTTTATACAATACCTACTGTAATGCTGAGTAAAAGAAGACTGATGGGAGAAGACTAGATATTTTCCAAATTCAGGTATTCTGAGATGCCTGGAGCTCCAAAAATTCTTTGAAAAAAAGATACTCTGTACGTAGGCATATGAATACTATAGGGGAAGGAATTCCATATAGGGGACTCCAGGGGACAGTATAGAGTATAGCCTGGGAAAGTACAGAGCAGGAAGTAAGTATTGTATATGTGGAAGACATATTCACAATGATTGGAGTACAGAAATACCTAGAAGTCAATGGTATTAAGGTATTATGGTGGCATTCAGCAAAAAGGAGAAGACAGACAATTCACCCATATCAGTGATTGAGAGGAAAAGGAAAGTTATGGATTCAGGCAAAGTGGAAGAGAGTCCAGTGGGCATCCATGTGGCACAGTGGAAACAACACAGGGTTTGGGGTCATAGGTGAGTTTAAATCCTACTTCTTGACTTAGCTATCTAGTTATTCTAACTTTAACAAATTAACAAATTGATTAACCCAACTCTTGAGCGTCAGTTTCTTAGTAGGCAAAATGAGGTGACCTTACAAGTATGGTATAAGAATAAAGAATACATTTAGGGGCGCCTGGGTGGCTCAGTCGTTAAGTGTCTGCCTTCGGCTCGGGTCATGATCTCAGGGTCCTGGGATTGAGCCCCACATCGGGCTCCCTGCTTGGCGGGAAGCCTGCTTCTCCCTCTGCCACTCCCCCTGCTTGTGTTCCCTCTCTCGCGGTCTCTCTCTCTGTCAAATAAATAAATAAAATCTTTAAAAAAAAAAAAGAATACATTTAGAAAATATCTAGGAGTGTCTATTTCACTATATGTATTCAGTGACACTTAACATTTTAAAATGAAACAAATTAATATGTATTCATTAAGTTATTCTTTTTTTTTAAGATTTTATTTATTTATTTGAGAGAGAGAATGAGATAGAGAGAGAGAGCATGAGAGGGGGGAGGGTCAGAGGGAGAAGCAGACTCCCTGCTGAGCAGGGAGCCCAATGCAGGACTCGATCCCGGGACTCCAGGATCATGACCTGAGCTGAAGGCAGTCGCTTAACCAACTGAGCCACCCAGGCGCCCCTTCATTAAGTTTTTCTTATACTTACACCATTAGTACTCTTAGAAATTACATTTATGTCCAAAAAGGGATTATGAAATAGACTGATGGTCAAATGGCAAGACAAAGATTTACTGCCAAAGCCCAGAATTCATGTTCCCATGAATAGCCTAAACAATGACCCACAGACTTATAGACTGGATCTCCATCTTTAAAAAACTGTATAGAGCTATGCTGTCCAATATGGTAGCCACTAACCACATATGGCAATTTAAATTCATTAAAATAAAAGAAAATTTAATTCAGTTTCTCAATAATACCTAGCCATATTCCAAGTGCTCAATAGCCAAATGTGGCTAGTGACTACAATACTGGAAAGCACAGATATAGAATATATCCATCATCACAGAATGTTCTACTAGATGTCACTGGACAGAGATCCAAAGTAACATGACAAAGATGTTATGGTGGAATGAGGAAAAAACAGAAAAATAGGGGCATCAGTCAGTTAAAGGGAGAGAGAAACAGAATAGAGCTTTGAACAGAGAAAATGAATAGTGGTCAGAAATATCTTATAAATCTCAGGAAGCTGATGAATAGAAAAATAAAGAAAGGCACCTGGATTTAGCCAAATTGGAGGGAGCAGAGCCAGACTGCAAGTGGTAAGGCAATGTAAGAGAATTTGAAGTAAAGGCAATGAGTGGAGATTATAATTGGTATACAAGTAATTCGAAGAGAGAAGGTAGTATGGTGTACAGAAACACTGAAAAGGTCCTATGAAATGGTATGAAATTATTTCAAAGGAGTTTTTTTTTTCAAAGAAGATTTAAGTGAACAAAAATATAAGACATAACTGTACAAAAAGGAAAACATACATACACATGCTTGCTTACCCCAACTTAATTTGTATCAGGTCAATTTCAATCAGAACTCCACAAGGATTTTATCTCTGAACTTAAATTATTTTAAAGAATGGATGGCAAAAGATGAGCAATAATATAAAAGAAAATTCTAAAGAAAAAAATTCTAGGACCAGTAATATGACCTAAGTATTGCATTTTATACCTTCCTTTCATTAAAATCCCTATGAAAGGTCTCAACCAAGGTGATTTGTAAAATTCTCTTTAATTATGGGGAAATGTCAAAGAGAAACACACCTGAAGCATACAAATTTATGGGATGCAGAGGAGAACAAAGAGCTCTGTAGTTCATCCCTTACCCCCCCTTCCCTCTCACAACCATCAATTTGTTCTCCATATTTACAGGTCTGATTCTGCCTTTTGTTTATTCATTTGTTTTGTTTATTTAGATTCCACATGAGTAAAGTCATATGGTATTTGTCTTTCTCAGTCTTATTTCACTTAGCAGGTACCCTCTAGAAGTCCATCAGTGTTGTCACAAATGGCAAAATCTCATCTTTTTATAGCTGGGTAATATTCCATTGTGTATTTATACACATCTTACTTCTCCATTTGTCTATCGATGGATACTTAGGCTGCTTCCAGATCTTAGCTATTATAAATAATGCTGCAATAAACATATGGGTGCATACATCTTTTTGAATTAGTGTTTTTGTTTTCTTCAGGTATATACTCACTGGTGGAATTATTGGATCATATGGTATTTCTATTTTTAACTTTTTGAGGAATCTCTACACTTTTCCACAGTAGCTGTACCAGTTTACATTCCCACTGGCAATAGACTACGGTTCCTTTTTCCTCCACATCCTAACCAATACAATGGTCTAAGTTTAAAAATTTTTTTAAAAAGCAAGTTGTAAATAGATGCATATAAAAATTGCATGTGTGTATTTGTGCAAGGGAAATTCTAGAAAGATATAGATCCAACCATGCACAATACAGGTCTTTAGATGATATCTTGAGAGAAGAGTATACTTCCTACTTTATACATTTTTTAATTGCTTGAATATTTTCTAACAATATTATTTCTATTTCAAAGGAAAAAGGAAAGGGGTGCCTGGCTGGCTCAGTCAGTAGAGCATGAGACTCTTGATCGCAGGGTCATGAGTTCAAGCCCACACTTGGTGTAGAGATTACTTTAAAAAAAGAAAAAAGGAAAAATGTTATAGAGCAGCCCTAATGCTGCTGGTCCTTAACTGCACATTTCCATATCAATCTAGATGCAGATTCCATGTGTTTTTTCCATGAGATTCCCTTCAACTAGGTGTGTTCAGGATGATGGAGTTTACTCAAATAAAAAACAACTCAGGGGCATCTAGGTGGCTCAGTCAGTTGAGCATAGGCCTTTGGCTTGGGTCATGATCTCGGGGTCTGGGGATCAAGCCCCTCGTCAGGCCTGAAATTCCACCTCATTTTTAGGGACTCTGGGACCTCAGAGAGTCAGAAATAGCCCAGTGAGCACTCTCACCACTTCTCTCCCTTAACTACTTCATATGATCTCTCTACAAATCATTTACTATCTTTTTTACTCAGTGCTGTGCTGAAATATGTGATGGAAAAGAACTATCCTCTTTAGATGGATCATGATTTGTTATGCTGGAGATCAGTGCAAATGAAATAAAGGACAGAGGTGTGATTACTGAGTGCCCTATTAAATAGGGGGGTCCAGGATGGCCTCTCTGAGGAAGTGACATTTAAGCTAAGAAAAGCCCCAGTGAAAGTAGGGGGTTATTAAAGCCAAAAAAAGGGGGCACCTGGGTGGCTCAGTCGTTAAGCGTCTGCCTTCGGCTCAGGTCATGATCCCAGGGTCCTGGGATCGAGCCCCACATCAGGCTCCCTGCTCAGCGGGGAGCCTGCTTCTCCCTCTCCATCTCCCTCTGCCTTTCCCCCTGCTTGTGCTCCCTCTGTCAAATAGGTAAATAAATAAAATCTTTAAAAAAAAGGGAGGAGGAATAGCAAATATGAGGTTGCTGTGGTGGGAAGATGTCTGACGTATTCTAGGAATATCGCTGAGCCAGGATCCTTAGAGGGAAATGAGCACTATGAGATCAGAGGAGTAGCTGGGGAACAAGTTATGTGGGCCCTTGAAACTCATGGCCAGAACTTTCAGTTTTGTTCTGAGGGTGAAGGAGAGTCATTGGAGTGTTTGTGATTTAATGTGATTTCTATTTTAAAAGGAAAATAGAAAGGAAGTAAGGGTGGAGCAGGGAGATCAGTCGGGAGACTACTACAGTAATCCAGGTGGAAGGTGGTAGCTGCCTGGGCCGTGGTGGTGGCATTGGAGCTGGGGGGATCTGGGGTATATGTTGAAGATAGAAAATATGGGATTTGGCCAGGGACTGGTTGTGGAGTGTGAGAGAAAGAAAGTCAAGGATAACAACAAAGATTTTTGACCTGGGCAACTGTACAAATGACCTTACCATTTACTGAGATGGAAAGACAGGGCAGAATGATAAGATGGGAAGAAAAATTGAGTTCTTGATCTATTAAGTTTGAGAGACCT